TATTATTATTGTTATTATTATAATTATCTGGCGGCCGCCACTTATTTATTGGTACCTATTTAGCGGTGCAGCATTATCTCGATGTAGAACCGGCCTCCGTAGCAAACTGTAGATGATGAAAAAAATATTATGCGTACAGGACTAGGGAACAGTGTAATTTCTGTTCTGTGGTTCGTAGTTATCTCACTGAACAAAATCATCAATTCTTTCTTGTATTCACTTGAGTGATAATTAATCAGGTGTGTGTTCTTATTAAGTAGTTTTATCTATATGTAATAAAGTCCAAGATGAAACATTTTCGGAGAACAAAATCTCCATAAGGCTCTAGCCCAAGCCAGGATGAAAACTATTGTTGTCAGAACAAATTCTACATTATGGTTTTATGGGCGTCTTTTGCAGTCTTTCTGTGTTTTTATTACTAGATGAAAAATCCCCCAAGGGAATTAGTCCACCCAATGCTCTCCCGTTCCAAACCAGATGCAAAGTGGTATGTATATACGTGTATCGTATACACGTATCGTTGTTTACCTACATTATATTTGCTTTACCACGATTATACGGTGGCATCAAGTACTGTTTCCCAAAAACTTTTTTCTTTATAGTTATAATATATTTAATAATAATTATTATCATATTTATTATTATTATCATGATTATTTTTATATTACTACTATCATTATCATCATAAGTTTTAATATTGAATTTTTTTTTTCATGGTTTCTTTTTTATTATTAATGTAAATATCTTTTGCTTTACTGTAGGTAATATACGCTTGTTATATGATGTTTTGGATACAATAGCAGACATTTTTTAATATTTTGTATACCGACATGCTTCACGATTGATTTACCCCTAATGAAATTTTAACCACAAAACTATAATAACGAAATGATTTGTCCTGGGCGGGGGACCGACTAATTAACCAACCATCGACACGCATCTTATTCATGAAGTATGTAATTATTCAGCATTAAAATACTAAAAGTGCAATTATTTTCTTGGACCGTCTGTCCCTGGGCTCCACCATGGAGCCTTCGCAACTTCTTAGCGTAGTTAACAATCTGAGAGATTTGAAATGCATGACTACAATAGTTGGGTGGGGAGGCCCCCTAGGTCCAGGGAAGGAACCCCGGGATTCAGTCACATAATCAACTGTTGGTTGTGACAACTCATTGCATTAAATGACAATTCATCGCAATTTGATCTTTTATAAAATCAATTAGTCCAATTAGATCATAAATTTAACAATTATTGTTATGGTGGGTGATAAATTATCGCTTTTAATATGTCTATTGAATCTATGCATATTATATCAATTTTTATTTTCTCTTTTTAATGAACTTAAATATGATATAATTATATTATCTAATTTTTAAAACGTAAACGTGGCTATATTGTTCTTATAAAACCTGCATCACAATCAGGGTATGACGGTTCTCTTTAGCTGAGAATCCACATACAGTTATGTATGGTACTTCGCAAAATAGTATTGATAATGATAACAATAATGAAATCGCATCATCAGTCATTGGACAATACATGCTAATTAGCAGTACGACATGCGTAACCTCTTAATTTTGTCTCTTAACACGAATTCAATGATTGAAATGTATATATATCTGTCTCTTATACACATCTTAATAAAAATAATAATAATAATAATTATTATCGTATATATATATATATATATATATATATATATATATATATACAGACAATTACATACAATGTGTATGGAATTAAATTGAAAGCTAGGATCATAAAGCCTACTGTATTTTCTGGAGGCACCGGGGGTGGGCGAGCTTTCCCCGTTGGGTAGAAAACCACAATTCGTCGGGGGAAAAAAATTATATGTATTTTTTACATATTAGTAGACTAAAATCGGTTAAATAAGCCTTTCAAACCCCTAAATTGTCAAAGCTTTGTGGGCCCCCTGGACCACTTTCGAAATAATTTGAGCGACACCCGAATACGCCGTTTGCTCTCGTCGGGGACATCTGTTCCTCGTCGAGGACATCTCCCCCACCCCCTTTCAAGCAAATCCTGGCCCCACCCCTGTGCCTGTCGTTACCGCAACAAATTCCTACTCAGGAACTGCTAATTTCCATGCCCACTTTCTACAATTCTCACACCCAACACTTATAATATACCTGCTCCTAACGAAACAACTTTCTCCAACCTGTAAATTGCACACCACGTATATATACCATTCCTACAGCTCATCCACTCAGACCTGTTTGTTTAAATTAAATTTTTCACTTAAATCGTTTACAATCGCGAAATAGTATGTATTATACGCTTGTTATATGGTTTGGATACAAAAGCAGTGCTTTGTATATACCAGCATCCGTCACGATTGATTTACCTCTAATAAAGTTTAACCACAAAACTATAATAACGAAATGATTTCTCCAGGGCGAGGGACCGACCAATATAAGCAGCCATCGACAGGCCGACAAAGCTAGTTAAGATGTTTAAAGCACGCATTTTATTCATAAAGTATTTATTATTCAGTCTTAAAACACTAAAAAGGCAATTATTTTCTGGGACCCTCTGTTCCTGGACCCCACCACTGGGGTCTTTGACACTCCTTAGCGTAGTTACCGACCTGAGAGAATTGAAATGCGTGACTACACCAGTTGGGTGGGGGAGGCCCCCGAGGTCCAGAGGCGGAACCCCGGGTTTCATTCATATAATCAACTATTGGTTGTGAAAATACATGCGCACCACTCACGACTACTAGATTCTACTAAGTCGTGGTTGGCTTGGTTGTTTTGATCGGGAAAGAAAAATTATCTCGGTGAATTGATTCTCGAACGAGATAACGAAAGCTCTCTAATGACTCAAGATTCTGCATGGCATGACCGTTTTTATATTTTTGATAAAACCAATTTCTTCTAATTTTAAATACATTTTCCCCTGAATTCTTGATATTCGTTATCACGTATACCAATTGAAAAACTCGTTACTATTACTTCGTTGCGATTAGCAATATACGTGTTTTATATTTTTTTAGTACATTACTTCGTTGTAATGAGCAATTACTGATAGGCCTCTATTATATTTTTTGGATAGAAAAGAATTTGTTTTTTTATGTTTTGTAAAATCGGCATCCGTCACGATTTAATTACGCCAAATTGTTGACAAGAAGGACGAAATTATAATGATTTGTCCAGGGCAGGGCCGATCAGTCGATAGACCGACCGATCGACAGAGGTAGTATGCGTAAGTACGCATCTAAATATTCAGTATTCAATCGTTTAACACCAAACACGCAAATTTTTCCGGAGCCTTCGACACCCGGGCCCCCGACTGCGGGCCCTTGGCGGTCCCTGGCCAAGCTTACAGTTGCTCATGTCATTTTAAGAACTCGTGATTAATTACGGCTGTCGCATTTTTTTTTTTTTTTTTTTTTTTTGGACACAAATTGTGTATGTGTTTTGTATTACCGACATCTGTCACGATTTAATTATACCAACAAACGTTTAAGTGAAAGATAATAAATAACGAAAGAATGATTCGTCGTGGGAGAACTGACCAACCGACTGACAAAGCTAGTAAACCATGCATCTATAATTATTCATTATCAGTCTGGTCTTTTAGAACGCAAAAACGCGATGTTTTTCCTGTGGCTTTCGGCCCCTGGACCATGCCTGACGTCCTTGGCCCAGCCTAGACTTACGCACGCAAAAAATGTTGCGCCATACGGACCTGTTTTATCAGAAATAACCATTAATCGTGATACAAAGGAAACCACTTCAAAATCATGCTGATTAAACACGGACACATGGTAAGCCGAACGCACTCTGTCTTGTACACGTACACGTAAAATAACGCAATTTTTCAGGGCCTTCGGCCCCTGGAGTCCAATCGGGGTCCTTCACTGCCACCAGTCTAAGTAGCTCACTTCGCTCGCCACTGACCCCTGCCCCTTCATTCCATCTTGGCTGCGCCCGGGTTTTCAGAGTTTGTGGTACACATTTCCATAGCCGTCGGAAGCATTTTGCAAGTGGTCCGGCCATTATAAGAGCGGGATGCGGAGAGTCCATACCCACCTCAGCTTCACCATGGTTGGGCTGTGGAGCGAAAATTTTAGGAAATGACACTGTTATATAGTAAAATTTATCATCATCACATCACAATTATATTCAAAATGAAGCGCCAACAAATTTCTCATGAACTTTTATCATCGATTTTCGGCAACCATAGAGAGCTACCGGTAACTAATATGTGTGATGATGCGACCATAGAAAATTAGACTTAAGAACATTGTCTTTGATGTATTTACTTTACTTTATCACTTCAAAGATAATATGTACGCCCACATCCATCTCAGCCACACCATGTTTGGGGCTGAGGTTCGAAAATTGTGGGAAATAGTACCTCTAGATGGCCGGAAATATCACTTTTATATAGTAACATTCGTCATCATCAAATTGCCATTATAGTAAAAATGAAGCGCCAACAAATTTCTCATGATCTTTTTCATCGATTTTCCGCAAACCAGAGATGCGTGATGTACCATAGAAAATAAAACTTAAAAACATTGTCTTTGATGTATTCACTTTACATACTTCAAAGCGGTGAGTCCACACCCACCTCAGCCTCATCATGTTGGGAAATAATACCTCAAGATGGCCGGAAATGACACTCTTCAGGCGCGGATCCGCACCCCTCACCTCCCCCTCCCTTTTTTTTTAGGAAAGTCAAAACAAAAAAAAAAGAAAAAGAAAAGAAAAAGGAAAAAGAAAAAAAAAAGAAAAAATTGACCGCCCAAAAGGCCTCAGATGTTATTTTCGGACATCTAGAACACAAAAATTTCGCGGGGGTATGCCCCCGGACCCCCTAGAGTATTGTTTTATTATTAATATTATTAATATTATTATTATTATTATTATTATTATTATTATTATTATTATTATTATTATCATCATCATCATCATCATCATCATCATCATCATTATCATCATCATCATCACCCTCATCATCCTCATCTTCATAAAGAAATGGCGGATTAGAAAAATAATAATGAACTGTTTTGTTTATACCACTCCAGGTGGCATTTTACATATAAACAATACTGAATGGAGTAGAAAGACTACGAAGGAGACTTTATAATTAACAACAAATGTGAGTACAGTATTGAACATTTTTCATCGTTAATTCAATAGTCAATTTGGAATTCTGTCATCATTCTATGGTTATTGTTTTTACTAAGTGTGTTAGGCATTGAAGGCATTGACAATTTCCTCGACAGAAGCATACACTGACATGGCTGCATTCTATTCAACAACAACATACATTCCAAGTGACTCGCTAAAACCATCGAATACCTGAAACTGGCTAAAGAAACGTTATTTACAGTAATTAAAGTTTGGGGCTTGTTAACTTCCGTTCGTTGTTTACTTTGTAGATTCGTATCTTTTTTCATTGACATGAAATTTATTACCAAAAATCTTATAATTATCTGGTGCACAACTTTTAATCTTGAATAATCGAAATTTATTACCGTATAGACTGACAAAAATATTTTCTATATTATTTTTAAAGGACAGCGAAAGTGATAGAGGTGGGCCCAAATGACACCGTCTTTATCAATATTGATACTAATATCTTCATGGATGTGTACCGCCATATGTCGATATCAAATATAGCTACAGTGACGGATCCATAAATTCGAATAAAGGGGATCTAGGGGGGAATTTCACATGTGGATTTTTCTCCATTTTTGAACTAATTTTGAATCATTTAGGTGGGGCCGGTTGCACACTTTCACTTTTCGAATATTCTTAAAATTACACTACCAGCCAATTTAAGAGTCTATGTATATATAAAAATAAAACACTGGTATAGTTTAACTGTCTGTTAGTTGAGAGGAAAACAATTTTATCATTGATATATTTAATTGTAAGTTTGTAACTTACTTAAATATAATTATTCAGTTATGAAATTAAATTGTTTGTCTTTCAGCTCATGACTGGAAGTGTGTGTTTAAATTGAACCTCATTGGAAATGGGCTGGACTCCGGCCTAACGGGCGTTCCTGGTGCTCATCACGGTAATTTTTACTTTTCTTGATCTCAGTCCGATTTGTTATCTTGCTTTTGCATGTTGAGCATCAAATAAATTAAGTCAATCATTCAAAAAATATTATATCATGAAAAATGTTTGTATGAAGATTATAATTATAATATTATGTTTATTGTTTGAATATACTGTATTTATGTATTTATGAATCTATATGTTCATTTCTATCGAATAGTACACTTTTTATAAATTTTATTTACCCATGGTATTCGGAATGCTAACATAATTTGTTTGCACTTTTGCGATCTACTAGTCCTACCCAATACCATGTATTTAATAATACACATCATTCCGTGGTATGATGATACTACTATAATAATTAATATTTAATATGATAATGCCGATGATAAGAATTGTGAAGTACTTTTATGTTGTATCAGCAGCATTGTAAATTGCTATAACTGAATACGATAATGTTCAGGTTGGGGTGCTCATTATTTTTTCAGAGGCGGATTTAAGGGGTATGAGTGGCATCCGGCCTGCCCATTCCACCCACCCTAAATCTTTTAAAATGGTAAAAAAATTGAAGAAAAAAGAAAATTACATTCAAATTTAAAATCTGAAAGTACCATTTCTGGCCATCTAGAGGTGCCATAATCGAAACGTTTCTTACCTCAGCCCCAACCATGGTGGGGCTTAGGTGGTGGGAACCCTTCATCTGGCAAAGTCCCTCCCCGTGGGCCCCCTCTATTTCAAACCTATTGGCTCTGCCTCTGTTTTTATTTATATATCATGTTTTGATGATACTCCGTTATAATTCTTTCTCTGTTTCCTAATCTTTTCTCAATATTTTTCTATTCCAATGATGTAGCAAAAGAAGACACAACTATCAGAAAAGAATGTCCGGACTCAATCGTGAAAGGCAACAGAACTTACCAATTATTCATAGATAGCTAAAAATTGTGTCACTCATCAAGCTTCCTGTAAAAATTCTGGATATGAAATTAATTAAAATATAATGTAGATTTTATTTTTTAAATGTTTTCCTCTGCAATAATCATCTCAAAAATAATGTTAGCAATATGTATTAATTCTTGTAGGCTTTATGTTTAGTAATAGGCCTATTGTATTATTACTGCTAATGTTTATCTTATTAATAGAGAAAGTAACCCGTTTGTTGTAAAGAATATAGATATATATAATAAGATGTAACATTTTGAGGATAAAAATCAGATTTATTGATTTTTTGCCGGATGTACATGATATAGGACTACAGTATATAAATATAAAATGTATATATATATATATTTATATATATATATATATATTTATTTATTTGTTTATCACAACTTGATTTCAATGTTTGAAAATAAATACGGTACCATATTGAAATGGAATTGTGCATTTCTTCTCATCTTATTTAATGTCTATGTTTACTGTAATAAATTCGATAGCTAAACTACCCTTATTATAATAAACTTATAAGCTTATATAAATCCATCTATTATTATTATTATTATTATTATTATTGTAAGCTTACCCCAAAAGTGAAGAATTGCTTCAATATGTGCTACTTTATCTAATAAACTAGCAATTCTTTCGAGGACACCCTCAACAAAAACATAAAACCGGAAATGACGTGGTTGCTAAGCAACAAGCTTATGCATAATCATGAATATTCAGTGCCACCTGTTCTAATTAGACTAACAATAAAATCTTTTTGGTCGATTTTGTCAAAACTGAGCTAAAAGTTTTTATTGTTAGTCTAATGAGCACAGGTGGCACTGAATATGCATGAGCTGTAGCCTAGCAACCGACGTCATTTCCTGTTTTGTAAAATTCGACAGCACCTTGCTATGAAAAGTTTCGTAATTTGTTGGTGTCATGTGAATATAGGCCTATTTAAAAAGAGTGTTTATAAGATATAGTAGCCTGTAATAGTAATAATAGCCTGTAATAGTAATAGTAGCCTGTGATTCTAATCGAAGTGATTATAATATATTTAATTCGATTCTATACTGATTAATAATCATGAAATATATATTATTATTAATGCAATTACGACAAAGGAAGTACACACAATGATGTATTATAAATTACACTACAGTTTACCTTTATTTCTTACATACTCGCAAACGTTACATCGGAACTATATAAATGTAATATAAATAGAATATAAACATTCTAGTTTTATATAATATAATAATATATATAATGCTTAGGCCTAATTATATTTAAGTATGTAATATCGCTCGAGAATTACTTGTTCGTTGTATAAGAAACATAATTGGCAACTTTGATTAATTTCCGGAGATCCAGTGATATAAATTCTAATAATATCCGCGCACGATTATTTGTAGAAGTAAGACCACATAAATCCGGCTATTGATAGCATCTTGTGTTCCGGCAATTTGTTACACATCGTGTTCCGTTGAAAATGATTGTACATCGACCTCGCACTTATTGATGGATCGGTAGATTTGACCTGAGACACTGAAATAAAAGAGATTGAACTAGTGAGAAATACATTCAAAATATTTTCATTTCGACATCTGTGTTAAGTAGTCCTAAAACACTTTTTGGAAACTTTATAACATTCATACTTTCATTAAGTATAGTAATACAAATTCAGAAAATAAAATTGATTGTTACATTATGTAAAGTGTACATGTTAATAAAGCGTTATTTTAATATGAGTGGGTGAGTGCGCTCCCCAAAATCCCACCCCAAATAGAAAAAGTCCAAATTTTAAAGACCGTCGAAAATATACTGAATACACATCTTTTATTTGTAATAAAACTTAAAAGTGAATATTAAATCTTAACATTGTAAGCAATACTCTATCGGACCCTGTATCGTCCTATAATAACCAGGCTGCGGTCCAACCTGCTTTTCCCCTTCACGGCATCTGAAGTTTTAGGTGACCCTCCCCATTTGGTATGATCATTACATCTTACGTTCCTATTTGAGATTGTTATTATTTATCTTATATAGCAATTCGATAGACGATTTAGATTTTCTCTACATCGTATCCTGATATATATATATGTGTATATATAATATATATATACTTATATTTACATATATACAAATACACATATATACATATACACATATACGTATACATACATACGCATATACACACATATACATATACATATATATATATATATATATATATATATATATATATATATATGCCTATATGAATAATAAAATAA